GAGCCCCATACAGAGCCGCGCCCTTGTGATATGATAAGAAGAAAAGGGGCCAGGCCACCCCTCTTTTCTTTTCCGCACCAACCCGCCTTCTGATTCAATTTCTATTCGATTTCGTCAACACAGAATCTCTCGGTCACTGACCCACCTGGGGATAAGAAAGATATGAAAGAGATGTTGAAGGTAGTTTACTTGCTTTCCTTTTTAGGGCTTTTAGCTCTTAGATCTCTTCCTAACGCACCATGCCAGATGAAGCAGGCTAAGAGTTGTTTATTAACCCTACAAGAAAGGCCGAATTGAGGACCGATATAAGAACCCTAGCAGCCTAACTACCAGCTCCTAGCTCCTAAGTGTGAGCATCTCGTAAGGCTATCAATTCACACAGCTTTACAAAAACAAAGACGAATCCGCAAATAGTTTATGAGTAAGAGTAGGTCCATTTCTGCCAGCTCTAATCCATCAATTGCATCTCTCCTTTTGAGCCCCCTTCCGAGGGTTAGGATCAAGGGTTGGTCGAGACTCACTTTGCTCTCCTCGCTTTTGTGAACTTCCTGGCTCTCGCATGGGCTGTCTCCAAACCCCTATTTGAATGACTTTCATCTTCCATGACTGTGTATGTCAAGAGACTGATTATCTCTCTCTTTATGCATTAAAATTCAGTAGGAGAGTGACTACTTCTTTCTGCTCGTAGTTTCTCTCTTCTTAGTGTACTCGTGATAGAGTACTCGCTGCAATAGCGCTTACGGCAGCTCGTAGCTATTGTATGCTGTATGCATGGGGGTAACCCATATTGATTGCACTGCTGTTAGGAGCTCATACTTTCTCTCGTGGTAGTGCGCTTACGTGGTGCTCGCACCGGTCGACTACAAGGCCCTATACCTTGGTATAGTACAGGTGGTGGTCTCTCATTGGGGCGAAGTACAGCATAGGGGTCCTGACTCTCTGTCTCTGCATCCTGACCGCTTCTTGCTATGGGACTAACGGGAGTGCCCGCATCTTGCTGTGAACTAGAATCTCCTACTCGAAGACTCATATTTTGAGATCCATCCGTGCTGTGCTTATCCCCTAATGTGTCGTCCTCCATGAATGTGGCACCTGTCTTGAAGAATCCCTAACGGGTGATGATAAACCATTAAGGCAACCACCGGAGCCCAGGGGCAAGACTTACATAAGCCACTGTCAACCACTGTAATAAGAGCAATGGGATAGACGACAACGAGCGAATCTCTTTCTACAGACCCACCCACAAGGTAAGCCACCTCAGACCACTTTATTTGGAAGCAAACTTGGAAAACCATCCTTAATGAAAAAGAAATCGAAATCTCATAAGAGAAGAAAAGAAGCATCAAAGAACTATACGAAACCAACCCGCCATTCGTAGGTTAATCATGCAAATCGCGCAAGCAAATACTTGACCAATACAAAGAGGTTTCTTTGGCTGGACGCCCTATCCGTGGCTACGAAAAAGCCGCTAAAGGATCCGCGAACCGAGATCACCGAACCGCGAGTGAGTGTGGAGAAAGGTAACTCGATAAAAAAGAAGCTAAGAGAAAGGGCTTGAAAGGGCGTCCCATGGTCGGATGAGGGAATAGAATGGAATCCGGGATCAAAGAAAGGGGGGTCGGCCACTAGAAAGCACCAATTCAGCCGGAAGTTTGGACACATTGGCTCTCGTCTTAAAGTTCCCACCCAGCTTCTTAAGGAATACAAAATCTTACCCTACATTCTACGATAGTACTTTGGGGATCCGTTTGATTGATAAACTAATCCAGGACTTTCTGTCGTCATCCATTCCGAGTGAAAGTGAGGGACAAGTTGACTTTGGTGACCTGATTCCATCTTAATCCCCGGGCTGTCATTGAATTTCTCCTCAAGCCCGTTTTCGACATTCATTCATTCTACATCCATTTATGTGATGGAAGTCAACCCAGAAGAATGAGGATTGGAGAACCAAGTAGCAGCCAAGCGCGACCGACCGACATGCTGGTAAGACCATGGGAAAGACCAGTCCTGCATGAGCAGGTGGAGTCCCCATTGTGAATAACCTTTCGCCGACCGAGGCATGGTCAAATTTTCTAACTCTCCTGCCCTGCCTTAATTGAATCGATCCTTGAACTCAACTCTACCAAGGAAGCTAGGAGTTACCCCGTCTACAGGCCTCCGGTGGTTCACACCCTGGGGATAGGGAGCGCTCTTTTATGAAGGAGAAGGGCGTCCCAGTTGGATGTTGACGCTATCCATCCTTCCAGCGCATGCTACGTCTTTGTTGGTTAATCCAAGCTTATTATCTTCTTCCCGGATTCTGATCCACTATCTGGACAACCTGTCACTTCTAAACCAGCTAGGCAAGCAAGGGAACGAGCGTCACATGCCTGAATTAATCCACGCCAAGAAACTCATTAGAGTTTAGAATCGAGTGAGAATAAATATTTCTTTATTCAAACTGGGGTAATTCTTCTGCAAGTCGTTCTTTCCGCACATTAATATTGAACTGAACTCAGTATTGAATCAATTCAACTTATTTTTTGAATTCTGTAAGTAACAATTGTATATCAATAACTAACTGTAACAATCTATTCAGTACAGTCAAAACATCCAACCATTTCCACTAGGGGCTTGTCTAACCAACAATCAGTCCAAAAACCAGTGCCTATAAATAGCCTTCGCTTTACAGCTCACCTCTTTCAGACCCAATTTTCCATTGAAAGCCATCTCTCAATACTACCAACGCATGAAGCAGGCACTTCCAAGAGTATGAACTATCCCTCCAGAAGATCAGCCACAAAATTCCCTTCCCTTAGCGTATGTTGCAGGCGACATTCCCATCCTTTTCTTCAGCAACTCTCTGATGTCTTCAATCAATCTCCCACAAGGGTGTATATCAGTCTCTGCCGTGGCAACAAAATCCAGCACCAATCGTGCATCAACTTCGCAGACAACTCTTCTATAGCCATACCTCCAAGCTAACTCTAAGAGATATCTGATAGCCTGAAGCTTCGCGACAGTGTTCGAACAAATGCCAAGGTGTGCCATGAATCCCACTAGCCACTGCCCAGCATTATCACGTATCAGCCCGCCTGCCGCTGCGACACCCGGATTTCCTCTAGACGCCCCGTCCGTATTGATCTTAACAAAGCCCTCATCAGGTTTTGTCCATGCTATATTACGTACTGAACTTCGCCCTTCCTCCACCTGGGGGAACGCCTCTTGCATCTCTGCCACAGTACACTCGATGATGTGTAAGAGTTTCTCGCCATCAAACTACTAAGCCTGGGTTAAACACCATTTCGCACCTCCTCTTCCTCCACATGGCCACTACAAACACAATTCTCCAATCCGACCCCAAAACCTGAGGCATGTTCTTTGTATCTAAATTCCCATCGATCCAGGATACCAGGAGAAAAATTCATTCCATTTATCAAATGGCACCACAGCCCTCCAAATCGCAGCAGCGTCCGGGCAATCACGAATTGCATGCATGTAAAGTTGTCTCCATTGCCGTGTTACATATACTACATATACCAGAATCCGCAGTACACCATCTCGCCCTTATAGCCTTCGTTAATAGCCTGTCTCTCCTAGCCAACCAGATGAAGAAAGTTCAGCGTGCAGGTTACCTTTTTAACGCTCGACCAAACAAACTTTTCGAAGCAGCAATCAAACTACTTTAGTTAGCGCAACGGCTTTCGCGCGTCTTGCTCAATCCCTTGCTTGTTTGGCAACGTCGAGACTCACTTCCCTCTCCTTATTGAAAAAGCCCTTTACTATATATAGATAGGGCGTTAGCGCTTTACTAATAAGAAGAAAGGTTTGGGACCCAACGAACGAACTCGAGTTCAGTTCACCGGTACGGCACAGCCGGGGAGAGCGGAGAAGGTTATTCACTATCTTAGCTATTAAAGCTGAGGAAAGCTGCAATGGGAACGTATTACAGTGATGTAAATCATGATGTGCCAGTTGCAGATTTGCCTAATTCTCCTTTTACCCTTACGTTCTTTCCCCTTCGGGCTATTGCCCTAGTTGTTTTGCTTCTTCCGGTGAACGGGCCAAGCCGAAAAGTCAACTAGCAGAATCGATCCGCGTAGAGATGGAAACGAAGAAAGAGGATCTGTCACAACTAAGACGGGAAAGAGAATAAATGAAGATCTGAAGAATGCAAAGACTTCTTTCCGGGTTGTGCCCTGGTTGTTTTGACTAAAGTATGCTTCTTTGTTCCCTTGCTTTCATAGGTTTGAGATCAAGAGTGCTGCATCTGCTTCTTCCAGAGAGCTCGAAAGTCAACTAGCGCAGACGAGAGATGAAGAATGCGAGAGTGCCCGGGCAAGGATGCTGATTCTGTGGTAGAGCTCTTGCCACCTCTTTGAGGAATACAACTAGCTTGATTCATTAGTTGCTAAAAGAGCTAGAACTTAGGGAAAAAGACGGGGTTCTGCACTTAGAGGAAGTGATTTCCGTAGCAGACCAAGCAAATCAACAAGGAATGTTGGCAGAGTGTGACCCTTCTTCCACTCTATCTGTCAATGGGGGGATCCGATGATGGACTCCATGGATTGAGCCTTTTCCTTTCTCCTACTATGTGAATGGTTGGGCTCACATTGAATACTGCGGATCGGGGTTATTTACTTCACTGACAAAGAGGGTGCCTCAATGGTTTTGAATCACCCCTTAGGGATTCCTCAAGACAGGTACCACAGACGACCACATGTTGTAGTTAAGTATTTGTTGGCTCGAGAGACCTTCTCAATAGTAAGATGCGGAGATCCACCGATGTCTTCACATTCCATCCCCGTATCGGAGACCTGAAAGGGGCTTGATTCAGTTACTTTTTCGAGGGGAAGGTACTATCTATTTAGAAGTTGCAGAAAGGTTCCCCGCGGTCTTATCGCTATTCTATTATGGGGCGAAACAAAGGAATGCTGTCAAAGCTCTCTAAAGTTAGACGATTTCAATGACAAAGAAGAGATTACGGGCTAGACTGTAAAAAGTCAGTCCAAAGCCTAATTAGAAGCTGGGTTAAGCCTAGGCTTGTCTTTCCTGAGTCGGTTAAACACTCTTGCAAGATTAACCAGAAAGTCTTCGTTCTTTCGAGATTTTACAATCATATCATCTACATAAACTTCCATCTCAAAGTGTACCATGTCATGGAAGAGCGTGATCATGGCCCAAAAGTAGGTTGCCCCAGCATTCTTGAGTCCAAAAGGCATGACTCGATAGCAGAAGGTACCTCAAGGTGTAGTTCAAGCTGTCTTTTCCCTATCTTCATCATCAATGACTGAAACTGCCTAACATACTCACGCACGGACCCTCTGATGCTTTTGTCTATACCTTTTCTTACTTTGCTTCTGCGACCGGCGCCCGCGGGTGATCCCCAGGCCCCCAAATCCGGAGGTATGCTCCCGGCAATGGAAGTCTATATGCTAGTGGAGAATCTATTTCTGGATCTGGAAATGGATATAGAGACCCCCTCCGAAGAAAAGATCTGCTACCCTTTCCAGTCCTGTCATTCGGCAAAACATGAGGTTTTGTTTCTAAATGTGTTGGTTGGAGCGATGGGATTTGTTTGATTCCCATTCCCTGCTGCCTCTTCAAGTTGTCGGCTTCTTTCTAAAGAGAAATTCTCTCATTGAAAGAAAAGCGAATCCTTCGTTCAAGAACTAGACTCAAGGGATTGTGCCTACCAGTCAAGACAGGAAGGTGGGACGCTAGCTAGACTGAAGATCGAAGCGCCAAGCCCCCCTTCTATAATGCGCATATTGAGACTGAGCTTGCTTGCATCTGATCTAAGCCTCTCGCCTGTCTCCAACTGCCTTTCTATTGCGCCTGCCGTTAACTCCTGTTTACCTTCCTCTCGGAAAGTTCCTTACTCATAAGTAAAAGACTGATTAGATTAAAGGGAAGAGATATCTTTCATAAAAGTCAATCGCAATTCTATTTTTTATTGAATTCAAAGAAGATTGCGCAAATGAAAGAGATAGAAGAGCGGTATGACAGAGCTCAACAAAGGAAGGAGCTTGCCAAACTAAACAAGGGATGCAATTAAGCAAGAAAGAAAAGGGCTTTTGAAAGTCGATTTGTCGCAACAAGAGAAGAGGTATTGTCTAAGCCTTTTCAAGTGGGGATCCTCTCTCAAGTCTTTCGAAAGGCATTGTTGAAATTACACAGTGAACTCGACCAGGTGGTTTTTGAGCATTTTATTGACGAGATTTGAAATGAAAGCTGAGATGGGCTAAGTGTGAAGAGTCAACTATTGCCCTACTTTTCTTAGAAGTAGAAGAATTCGCCCAGTTGGAACAGATAACAAAGAATAGAAAGATTCGAGCTCAAAAGAAAGTGCTTACCCAAAAGGAAATGCCCAGTTTCAAATCAAATAAGAAGAAATCCTAATTGGTGAGCTTATGCCCCCTTCCCAGCTCTTAGTTTGCTTTACAGGAACCATACCATTTGAGCGAGGAAAAAGAAGATGTGGTTAACAGAATGGATCACTGCTTGCTGGCGGGAGCTGGTCTTTAATGGATTTGCCAAGAAGTCTAACTGAAAGCCCACATACATGTACCAGGGTTTGGCAAAGCTAGTGCCTTAAGCTAAGCAGGAATTTCAATGAATTTGGTGTGCTGAACAAGGCAGGTAAGCCCCGCGACGCCATACTCGGTGATGACATAGTAATCACTACTACGAACGTAGGTCTGGTTTATGAGCAAGCGTCAGGTCAGTATATCTAAAGAGAGAGAAGTCGCTGATCTCTGATTCTGGATGCTTTCTATTTTACGTTAGCTAAACTCGTGTGAGAAATTTGTCGAAAGACATCTCTCCCCTATCTCTTAAAGGAGTTAGTTAGCACCACCCGTACGGTCTTTATGCCGTATGTCATAAATATAAAAAAAAAGGTTTGCAAGAGCATCTAAAGATGCAAATCTTGTACGCTTTGGTCACCTGTGGCGATGCTACGATTTAATAGGTGAATTAGGTTGGAGGCCGCCTATACTTCCAGCTGATAACACAACCTAGAAAGGCTGCTTGCTTGGTGGCGGAGATGGCAAGGCTTTCTTAGTTCAGTAGGAATTGAACCTACGAATTCGCCAATGTTGAGTTGGGGCGCTTTAACCATTCAGCCATGGATGCAAAAAGACTCAGCGAGTGAACTAGGTTTTGGTATGCCTTCTATAACCTATAAAATGATAAATAGGGGAAAGCTTACGAAATTAACAGAAAAAGGAAGATAACTCCAGTCCGAAGAATAAGATTGTGATAGTACCCCGGCCGGAGACCAGGCCTACAGATCTACAGAGTATCCTCTCCTGTCCGCAAGCAAGCCATGCCAGGCAGGATGAGTACCCCGTCCGAACCGTCAGATCAGGAAAGACTGCATGCCCTATCTATTCCCCGTTCGCAGCGCCTACTACTAGTTCGATCCGTATACCCGTACAAGCCCCTACTGAGGAAAGCTATTCAAGTCAATACCCCATAGCTATATTTAGGTTAGCACCTTAAGCATCGATAGGCAGGCATATTAAGGTATAAGTCCGTCGCTACCGAGTTCTCATTTCAATTCTTCTTTGCTTCCGAGGTCAAGCCAAGCTTTTCAGCTGCCATTTCAGGTAATCGAGAGTTGACCTATTCGTATAGTAATGTTATTCGATAGAATCCCCTTGGGCAGACTGCACCTATAATAACTTATACGGGGCACCCAGCTTTTCTTTCCCTGGCTAGTTGATTCGAGGAGGCGTTGGTACGAGCCGCTACCATGTATCTTGATGGTTCAGCTAAGCTGTGGTGACGGACTCAAGGACATCAAGAAGGCGGAGCGTGAAGTACAATAGAAAATGGAGGGATGCGGAAGAGTAGGAGACCAATGAGACTTTAGTCGATGTCCAGTAGAGAAAGGACTGAGGGATTATCGGCTTGCCGAAAGAAGCGAGCCCCATCTCACGGGCACTAACCCACCCCGGGTTCAGAGTGGAATAAGGTAAGCCACTATTTCTACTTCTTTTTCTTCTTTGTCTTTCTTGGTGGATTTCAAGTTGAGTTTTCACTTTCTACTATAGGGTTTCCCTCTTTTCGGATACTGGTTCAAGGTAGAGAGTCTCATTCGATTGAAGAGATGGGATCACCTAAGTCTCGTTATGGATTGATGGCTAAAGGAAAAAGATTTGGTAGAAGAAGTCAGAATAGAAGAATTTAAGGGCTCGGCATGCTGAAAGGGCCGACGCCTAATA